ATATTCAGGTCAGTCTTCGATGAACACACATACGGACAATGAACCAACCTGTCAACCGATAAGAAACAACAAGGACTCTAAAGTTCACGTTGGCAGGACAATGAACCAAAGTAAAGAGATAGTGAAAATACTTTGATATAAACAATCAGTCACACACAAGGCCATCACGACAAACTGCTAAGCAGCTGACTTCTTCAACTTAGTGCTAATGATGTCTAGGATGAAAATGAAAGCTTCATAATCAAACCATCCAGCTTAGAGAATGCAACACCATCAAAATATACGTTACTGCTCTTAATTCCCTGTCGCTGATTAAACCGAACTGGTCATCCAAAGTAGGATTACACTTGTTTCCTGAATTCAAATACTACCCTCTACACCTCAATGTTATCAAGCTGAAATTGCAGGTAGTATTGAGGCATTAGCACATGAGAACATACTCTGATAGTGATCTGTCGATTCAGTTCAATCAACAATGAAGAACTACGAGGAATAAAGTAAAAACTGAAGTACCTTACACAAGAAGTGGTTATTGCGACTCAGCGGCCTGGTAGATAATCCTCTGTTGGTTAAAGCAATAGGTCCTTTGCATGAGTCCCAGTGGGAAGAACATTAACCACTGGGAGGCAGTTACATCCAGTTGAGGAGACTAAAATGGGAAGAAGCGCACATCTTAGGTCCCTCTGTTAGTCACTACTCATCATCGCTATCTTAGATGATACAGTTTACAGATTTTCTCTATAGAGGAAAACGTATTTACCTGTGATCTACCTAAAAATACTAAACAAATAATTCATGTACTATTAACTTTACTTTTTTAGCATCTTCTCTCAGTTGTTTCCGGTATTTTTGTTTTGTATTTGAGTTTTTTTGTTTCCATTAGTGGAGTATCTGAAAACCTGAAGCAATATAATGGTTTAACAAATTCCATTTTATTTCAGGTAATTATTTGTTGCTGTAAAAGCGAAAAACCATTGCTGGTCTGCTCAATACATTTCAGATGTCAGAACTATATGAAACCTTCCTTTGTCTTACAAATTACTTGTACCTCTTTGGAAGCAGTTGAATTTATACGGTGATTTCAAACGAAAAGCTAAGCATTCATAATCTCAACAATCTCAAGTACAAATTATTTGGAAAAGCATGAATTTTATGGTGACTCAATACAGTGATTTTCACGGAGAATTATTAATTACAAATAAATTTTTCAATGAAAGGTTCGTAACTCAAACCTAGTGAAACAGCTGATGTTAAATACTGTTACGATATTAACTTTTATGCGTGAAAAAAGACGGGTATTTTTTTTTGAAAAAAAATTTCTTTTTCACCGAAGATGTGTTTTATCGTAAGCTTTAAACAAATATCATTCAATAGGATCACAACATGAAAGAATTCTAGTCGAAAGTAATAAAGGAATATCATACTCTAGAACGAATTGACTGAGCTTTGAAAATACTAACTACCGCATTCAAAGTGACTGATTCAGTTATACATATCTTCTATGAAAACTCTATATTCCTTAGTGTAGTCAACCGAACAGGTCTTGTATTTTTGAAAAATACTTTCTCCATTTTAGAACCCTATCAGATGATAGAGGTTTGTAATAAACTACTGTGATCAAAAGTCAATATATTTTTTAACAATATTGTTGATTGGATTATCTGAGAGAATTTTCATTTACAAACTGATCTATATGAGTAAAGCTGATGCTTAAAGCTAAAAGAAATCTTAGGTCGCAAAAGGATTCAAACCAGCACTGTACAGATTATTGACCTATCGTTAATAGTTATTAAGTTACAGGACCGAAATGTTGACAAGGTCCTAGTTTTATTAGTAATCAAAATCCACTGAATATTACAGGTAATATTCAAACATCAAAACACAAAGCCTTTAGGATACAAAATCTTCAAGTTTAGTGCTTTGCTTCTTGTGAATGAACATAATTATCATTTTTAATATCTGAGATAGACGTGGTTTGGCAGACTAGTATTGATACTGGCTGATGATTAGAGGTAAGATGAAAATTTGGACGACTGCAAGACTTGGACAAGCAACCACCGGGTTTCCGGCCCAGTGTTCTACCAACTGAGCTACGAGGCCTGACTGTTAGAAACTCAGTGGTCTAAGATTTGAATCCCACCGCGGTTCAAATATTCATTTCACCTTCAATCATCACCCAGTATCAATGAACATCATTGTTTAAATCTTCTAATTTCTACATTTTAACGAATTTTCCTACTCCTATTATTATCATATTTTCATTCCTGTTTTTAATGCTTTTACAAAATATTCATTTGTTATACCAGTTATCATTTAGTTAGTGAAGTTTTTAAATACTTTTTAGCCACCTTTAGTTCTCTACTTCCCTTCTCAGCAAGTGTTTTATCAACCAAACTTAAATATTTAAGAAGTCATAATTTGATAGCATAAGGGAAAAATACATAGATGAACAGATGAGCATGTAACTCAACATAAAAGCGTAGTCCTTTAGACTGCCTAAATAACTAATCACTAGTAGTTTTTAGATACTATGTATCTGAGGATGGTTCATAGTGTAACTTAACTTATAGGGTATACTCCTGTATTTTTGTAGGTCATCAGCTTGATATGCACATCTGTACCAATCGCTATAAAGTTCACAGTTCGACCAACTAAGCACTTGTATCATGACAGCTTCTGATTGTCAAACAACTGTTGAATATTGCATCAACTCGGTTTTTATCGTATAGCTATAATGATTAGGTGTAAAGCAGAATTACTAAATTTTGAATCTTGATGATAAATTACAACAAGAAAAGATGTAAAAAGTGATCATGTACAGTATGTTCTAAGAATAATGACGGTTACAATAAACAAAATAAGATTGATTAAGTAGTAAGACGATCTAATCGAGAAATAAATGTACATGAGAGATATACAATAACCTATTCAATGTATAGTTTATCAGCCATCCGAATTACTATTTATGCAATTAACAGAGATGTAATGATAGTGGTAATCAGAATACAAGTATGCATACAGTGTGTACAGGTACCTGAAATAAAGAACTGAAGCGTGACGCTAAAAATCCATTTATTCTTGGAATTACTTGTCAGTTAGATCAAAAACACATACACCCATGCACACATAGTCATCAGTATTCACTATATGCATTCCACCTAGAAGGAGATAATAAATGGTACTGCGGGAGAAATCTGTAACAACTTATAACTATCACATGAGTGAATTAAAATAAGCAACTTAATAAATAGTTCATAGTTGACCTACATTGACTAAACATTCTGTTGTCAGTTCAAACAATTTATAGGCATATCTGTAATATTTAAACGTTAGTCTATAAATACTAAATTATATCAGTAGAAGAATGTTAGTTATAAACGACTGAGACTTCCTGAAACCTCCATGTTAGAAGTAAACAGTTGATAAGATGTAATACAACAGCAACCGTATTCTTCATCAACTTTTACTACTCTTAGATAATTATCGAGTACTCAGTAGTATGACCCAGTTTGTGATTAATGTCAGTAACTTTGAAGACTCTCAGAACATCTATATGGTACATTTAAAGAATCTCCTTATAATTATTCAACTTTCATTCTGAAAGGATTCAGTTGCTTCTGTTTATCTAAAAGGCAATTCTTTAGGACACCTAGATAAGAGTAGCACAGTATGTTTTTAAATAATTTAGTCAATATGGTCAAGGTGAATTTTATTTTCACGGTAGTATTCATCATGGACTGAAATTACTTAGGTAACCATTGAAAACTTGGAAGGAATGTTTCTCAATCCGATATCAATCCATGATAGATACCACATTGAGATTAATACATCTCTACAAACCTCAAAACTGATTTACTGCTAGATGCTTAATAGAGACACGCTTTGAGATGGTCTCCGAAATTATAATGAGAAGCTGTGACCAGTGAAATCAGCCAGTTGGAAGTGAAGTAGATTCTACATGAAGACCTTGAGAGATAGTTACCCTTAATCAAGAATTGACAAAAAATGAAACTGTAGGCCATTGAATTTGAAATCAAAGGCTTAACAGTAACTTGTCTGACACAAAACCTGAGAGTTCTGGGATCGACTTCCGATGGCGTCATGGTTGTACACTTCTGAGGAGACGAAACAGCTGTCCATTGCTCACAGGTTTCCTTTGGTTCTCCAAATGATACCATACTATGGCTAACACCACCTAAAAATCAATAAATCCTCACAAACCTCCAACTAATTTTTAGCTTTCTTGCTTACGTTTATAAAAACCTTATATGAACTGCCATTTTATATAAATGATTAAGTTACCAAATAAATTGGGTTCACTGGGATTTTTCTTTAGATGACACGATTTTACTTTCCTTCAGTAATTTAGTATTGAAAATTTTATGTAATACAAAAATTGTCTGAATTAAATGAGTGAAAGTTAAGGGTATCAGAATTTTACATGAATGAAGCTTATAATTTCCGGTAACAAAGTAAAACAAACTGAAAATTTTAAGAATTCCATTATTAAGCTTACTTTGCATGAAATAAGTATACAGTTTGTCTATCATTCCTCAAAGAGCTAAAAATATACTTAGTCCAAGAGAAACAAACTTAAACTGTTGAAATATTTCGGAAAATGAAAATTTTAGCAGTTTACGTAAATAGTAATGCTAACTATCATCAAACTGTATGGTAAAGACTCTCATAGCAATATTATCTAGAGTTCTCTTCCTTTGGTTTCCCTTTCCTCCAATACATGTCTTCAATCTCATACAATTTAATGCTATGTATCCGAAGTACTTCATTCACCCATAGGTTGAATTTTGGTCAGGAAGTGTCAAAATTAGAACTGACATAGACTATTACCATGTCTCTACTAAAGCCAAAAGTCAGTTACATAAATCAGAAGAATACGTACTGGTTTGACGAATATAGTTGCCAAATTGTCACTTATCTTCACATGACTGTAAATCATTCATGGTTGAATGTATGAAAAGTATACAATCTGTTCTACTCACTGAGATTTTATATCCTCTGACAGAGTCATATTACGTGGACACTTTGAAAAGTAGAAATGACACTCAGGTTTCTTTACTTCTGAAGTATCATATTTAGCAAGATGATATCTCCCAGGACCAGTAAACGGAGTCTAAAAGAAAAGAAAATAAGCCATATTGCTCAAGCAGAAATAGTGTTGGTACTTAGAAGATTCAGGAAAGATTAACCAGTTAGAAACATAAATAAATCATTCCAGTGACTTAGTTGTATGCTAGTAAATAACAAAAATTAACGATGGGTAGTGGTAAGCAGTGGAATACAGGAAGCACGTTTTGTCTTAACTAGGACTTGTCGTCTGGACATACCTGCCTCTCAGCAAGCCACGCTGTTGCCACCAGAACTCAAGACCGGTCGTTTCAAACGCCAGAACGTTATCCACTAGACCACCGAGTCACGACAGCCACTTCTCGTACGACGGATACAGTTTTGATGTTGCTACCTGTTGGGAAACAGGTACATCCATCTGAAGAGTCCCATATAGGACGAAAGGTGCGTCCTAGATTCCACCGATAGCCACTATCCATCAATAATATATAAATCAAACACAGACAACGTTGAAGCATCCGCTCAGGAGCCCATATTCCAGTAAAGACTGATCGACTCGGTCCACTCAACGACGGGATAATACAAGCAACAAGACTAATTACCTTGTTTGAATATGCTTGTACAGTTACCGTAAGAACAGCAAGTAATGATTGTTAAGGCGTGTTGTAATGGATTGTTATACCTTCCAACGTTAATTAGAGTATCTGATATTTTTGTGGTTAGAAGACTTATTGTTGTACACATAAAGGATAGTGGTCGTGAACTGAAGACAGATTAAAATCATATGCCTTTAGCTGGCTACTTAAATCTTTAAATTTACCAGTCAGTTTTGTAGTTGAAGTGATATTGAAACGTGATTAGTATTTAAGCTTTATGGCTCAGATGGTGAGGTGCTAAGCCTGTAATCAAAGAGGATCTGAAGAATTCGTGGGAATTAGTTGGAACTTATCAGCAGAATGATCTACGCATGTTATAAATTCATGATTTGATGCCATGCAATTAAAAATACGTACATATTACAAGCTAAGATAACGAATAAGGTGTAACAACATAGAGGTGAAAAATACATTTGACACATTAAGTAGATGTGGGCAAATGTGTGACAAGATATGAAAACTGACAGCACAAACTGGAAACATAAGCTCCACGGAATGCAATGCATGTTTTACTTCGGCTGAACACTTGCCTAAATCGTTAAATCTTGTAGAAGTGCAAATTTGAAAAAAAGCCTCAATAATAAGATATATATAATGGACGTTTTTCTCCTCAGTTAACTGATTTATTTCTTCTTATAAATTCTTATAAATTTCTTATAAATTCACGGGCCGAAATGAAATAGTTTGTCGGAGCCAGTCAGCAGGAAGTCCTACTTGGTCTATGTTCAATGCTTGTTAGCACTCGTCAGCAAGGCGTATCTGCACCCTAAATGGAACTTATATCTTCAGTGAGATGCGAACCCACATCAGGTAGTTTTGTAGCTAGAGATATTACCACTGAGATATCCGTGCAGTGACTGACCTCCTGTAAGATTGGATCAGGCCAGGTTCATCCCATCCAAAATACCTAAGCAGTAACGCCACTGGGCACAACACTGTGTGACATAGGTTCGAGTTTCATAGGAGACATCAGCCACCTAGAGGTTACAGATACTTCTTGCTGAGGATTGTCAACAAGCACGAAGACTTTACTAAGCAGGAATTCTTACCGACTGCCTCGAACCAACTAACATCCATCAAAGCGCACTACGATACCGAGGCTCCTAGCTGTGTGCACACTACAAACTGATCGACAGAATTCGGTTAGTGCTCCGGAATAGACAGCTTGACAGCAGTTGTTCTTCAGTGACTAATCAATGGAATGAGATATCGATAGGGAATTATTCTTAATAATTTCTTAAAATCATAAAGCCTTAATTTAAAGTGAAGGTTTACTTTAAAATTCAACATAGACTTTCTGAAGGTTTGTGATCTCAATGACTCACTTGTTAGAAAATTGAGAATAACTAAAATTTATCACACATTTGTTCATACTTATAAGCTTCTAAAAGTCCCATTGAACAAATTTTAAATCAAAAACTTATCGTTTCATTATTCTTAATATAGGCAATTATAAATCATCTTTCAAGATTGATAAAACAACGAAATAGCTTTCTTATCCTAAAACTGTTGCATCTTCGCATAAAATATGGTTCGCTGCTTCTTTTTCTGTCTATCATTTTGTAATTTTATTTACATTAGCTGTTTAAAATTTTTATTGAATTACAAGTTTTACAGACTATTACACATTTAAGTATCTTCATATATTATATTTCTCTCTACTAATATTAAACTTTTTCATCGTGAAAATTACCATGGAACATGTAAGGGGATAATATGGTTTTCAATTTGACCTTCTTTAGCTCAAATCTATTATATATCCCTTTCAACATATTATTATTATTTTATTACTTTTCACTTGGGTTCCTAGTGGAACATAGGGCTTCAGTAGCACGTCTCCACCCCACCCTCTTCTCTACAGTCTTTTCAACCTGACTACACGACTGGCCACAAGCTCCATTTCTTCGTCATATGATCTCTTCCATGTCATCCTCACCTCAGATGTCCAACTCGTAATTTCCCCTTTGAATTCCACTCGACGGCCTGGCCTGTTGCATGATGTCCTCAATCGGCCTCCTCAGTATATGCCAAATCCAATTCATCTCCACTTTATTCTGCATATTTGTTGGGTGATAGCTTCTTGATTGATTCCTTCCCACAGTCCCTTGTTGCATATTCTCACTATTCTGACCATCTGATCTTCAGTATCGAGCCAGTGTAGACAGTGTAGACAGCTGTTGATGAATATCTGCAGCTTGTTGGAAGTGGTTTTCGTGATGCACCAAGTTTCTGAACTATCACATGGAAGCACTGATTTGACTGAATTGGTGTTGAAACTCCACATCTTGTTCAAGCTTTGTGCTGAGTGCAGTAGATCTCCACACTGATTTCAGATTCATGAAAGCTGCTTGTCTTGCTTTTCTGATCCTGGTTTTGACATCCTCGTCTGTGCCGCCCGTAGTTGAAACGATGCTGCCTAGGTACTCCTGTAGGTGAAAGAGACCACTTGCTTTAGGTTTCTCCCGGTAATGTTGATTAATGCTTGTTGTTGATACCGTTGTTTGTTGGGTATCTTCATCACCTCCGTATTCTCTACATTCACTTGAAGTCCCGTCTTCTCTGCCTCTTCTGTTAACTTGTTAGTTTGTGTCTGTAGATCTTCGAGTTTGTGCGACATAAGCATAAATCATACAAAATATGAATTGATTAGGGTAATTTATCAGTCAACAACAAAAAAGATATTTATCCAGGCGCTTTAGAATAATGGAAATAATGGCGGTATTGGGGATAATAGAAATTTTATGAAAGGCTTAACAAAATAAACAGATGTTCGGACAGATAAAGTAGGCAAGAGCTTAGAAAAGAATAATGGGTTCGTGTAATACTGATGCATGAAGGTAGCGGATAAATAAGGCTTAGAGGTTAATATAATAGTGGTATGTGACAAGCAACAAAAGTAAGAAGAGCATTTTATAAGTCTTTAGTTAACTTCATCCATTAGATCTTCGTTGACTATAGTAGAGATAAAGGCTGCACAAATTTCTTTTAAATAAGGACCTTCGGATTGTTCATTCTAATTCCCTTCAATCTAAGATATATATATGAGGCGAGTTCGAACCCCTTCGGTAAGGTTAAGTCTAGTGTGATGAATCATTTTAAACACTGTTCACTCTGATTACAACCAACTAGATGCTTCAAAATAAAGTTTCCTATAGATTTAATCTGTCCTGTTTCCAGCTGTTAAGGTAGATGTTCGTTAATACGTTGGCCAAGCAGCTTAGTCGTACATCCGATGTAATTGACTCCTCAAGAGAAATTAAATCGATAAATGGACGTGGAAGTGGCTAAACTCAGTAACTTATCCTTCGCTTAACACAGAACGAATCGTAATAAAAAAGAGTTTAAGTTTGAAACTGCTCAACATAATGACTATAAATTCATTGTATAATACATTTGGTTGGGAAAAATAAGGTGTACTATTGTGTGTTGCATTTAGACTAGTGATTAAAGAGCTAAACTTACCACAAAGTTTTCCTTTCAAATGCATTAATAATGAGATGATGTTTACAAACGGACTGCATCATGTTTAGTAGTCCTTTTATCATCTTCGAAATAAGTGAAGCTAACTGTAAGCAATAATCTAGGGACTTAACTACCTAGTAGATGAACCACAAAATAAGCTACAGTATCTAATGTCGTAATTTCTTTTGGTAATCACTCACATGAAATGTAAGCTTCACACACGTCACATTACTAATACTAAATAATCTAATATCTGTACTTATACCACTTCTATCTACTTAAATTTAGATGACCTATGCATGAAGCCATTATCAACTTAAAATTGCCGGTCAATACACGTTTAATTAGATAAATGCAGATTGTCTTTCAGATATCTTGAATATAGAAAGGGAACTGAATGATTAACTCCTACCATTGCCTTCCGTTTAAGTAATCATTGCAATAATCAAGGTCCCCTCATAAACCAAACTATGTATTATTCAATACTCAAATTAATACTATCACCGTAAGCAAAACTGGGTGTATTCTTATTTCCTGAAGAACAGGAGATCAGTCATTCCATTGTGTTAACCTCTACAAATGAAGTTTCTCGATTGTTGAAACAATGAAGAGACCAATGATTGAAAAGGAAACTAGCGTTTATATAAAGTTTGACCGCCTACCTTTGCGTATATATATAGATATATCATGAATAACTGGATAACCGAACAAAAGTTATCTCTCATTACTAAATAAATAATTACCACATTTCGTATAAAATTATTGTATTCTTTTCTAGTCATCCTTGGTGTTTTGCAAAGAAATGGCACCGATTTAACTCTGAACTCTGATTTATGCATGTTAGGATCTACTGGATCGTAAGAATTCGGTGAAAGTTCATGCTACAGGTGGTAAAAAAGAGAAAAAACAAAACCAGTTTATACTACATCTTTGACATTCTCAAATAAATAAATTACAATGTTGTATAAACGATACCCGAATTTATCTTAAGCACTATTCTACAATCTTTTTTTAAGCACTAATCAGATCTATTATACATAAACCAGTCACTTAGTGATAACCGTAGTAGCACATAATTTATAAGGTGCTAATCGCACTCTGTCACCCTACCAGGCAACACGGAAACTAACTTTCGTCAGATGCTGACTTCTTATTTATATACCTTAAAGGGAATTAGTGCCGTACACCTACATAAAGTGTTAGGTATGACAACTAAGAACAGATTTAGTCTGTTTGATTTAGGATGAAATGATGTAACTTACAAATCAAAAAACAACTAATGGGATTTTTCACAGATTTTATTCTTTGATCGTAGTATATACTGATTTGAAGACTATATGCTACTGATGAACAACGAATAAACTGATTTTAACAGTAGTATAATCGGTTGAAGTAGGAGCTGAAGTTACTATGCATATCCTCTTTAATCCTAGCTTCCTTCTGAAGGTTATTCTCACATAATGTCCCTGTAAAACTGATTTATGACTTAGACAACGTTTTGGAGGGCTAGAAACAATATTGAATTTAAGGGTTTGTAGGGATTCAGTGATTTTTCTAGTTGGTACTCATCATGGACTGACACCACTTGGAGGAACATTGTAAACCCGGGAGTACTGGACAACTGTTTTGTCCTAGTATAGGACTCCTCAACAGTGCTCACCCACGACCCCGCCCCACCGGGGATCGAACCCACGACCGTCAGGTTCTGTGTCTAGCACGTTACCGTTGGGCCATCGGGTTGGAATCCAATGGTCCATATCTTCAAAAAAACAGCCATCCAATGCTCTCAGGTTTCTAATTTTCCTCTAAGTGATGTCAGTCTATGATAAATACCAACTAGTAACGATAGCCTAGAAGATTGCTATGCTTCACACCATACCTTAATACATGAAAGTCAACTGATTGGATGATCGCAGGAAATAAATCATACCGAATTTTTAATAGTTGTGTGTTTTCCTACAGTATCGAGCTAACAGATATTTTTCTATTATTTTTTTACCCCGATAAGGTAAAAGACTCATACTATTCTTTACTTCATACATTGAATTCGAATATCTGAGCAAGATCGTTAGTCGAAATTTGATTAACATGCTTCTTAAACCAGTAAAGTAGTAATAATATCAGGCAGGTGATCTTTCTACATCTCCAACTTAATTATTCCAGTTATGAATCTGTATAAGATTCTCTCTCAACGGAGTTCGCCATTGGATATATAACAACCTTACTCTAAATATGTTTTTAATAAGTTATAAAAGTCGAATGAATTAAAGATTTACTTCTCTATTACAAATTGCTTCACTTATCTATTACTGATATCAAGATGCAAAACTCATGTTGTCATTCTACAAAAACTGTATTTTGATATCTGTCTACGAAAATATGTGGAAAAATTGAGAAATCCTATACACCCTGAGTCATTAGTTCTTAAATATCCCACCCAGTGTTACATCTTTCAGTTGGCTAGTCTTTACATACTAACAGTTCATAAAAAAAACTGAAAATGAAACTAAATTAAATGTAAAATATATCTTGATATACTTTTAAGGTTTTCTACTATGGTTGTCTAAAGGTATTAGGACTCATTTTAATATATAATAATGATTCATAGTTTTCGGCATAAACCAAACACTTTTAACAAGCAACATAATAAGGAAGCACTCTATCATACCAAAACTATCATTCGTTTCTCAGACATCAGTATCCATTTTGACACCAGGAAAGAAATCATTTCTCCAGGGGAAGTGGTATTTACTCTTGTCAGGTTCTTATCTACTTGAAATTTTTTAAATCATCTTATCTTTCTGATATCTGTAGTTCATTCCCCTAACTTAAACCGCTGATCATGGTTGCTACTTATTTTTCATCTAAAAATTCATTTTCAGTTTTTATAGTTACTCCAAGGTCTCAATAACTGTACAGTGAAATAACAAGTGCACACCTGTTTAGAATTAATCGGAGTCGTCTTGTTAGCTTTACTGAAACCCATCAAGGTGGAAGCGGATACAAACGATTAAGTTTTAAGGAAATTTTAGGCACTTCACCCTATGGTCTGCAACCACTGCTAAGAAAATACACCAAAAAACCTGGTCTGTCTCAAAAAACTAGAAACAACAAACTTTTCCTTACCATATTGTATCGAATTGCTAGACCTCTGTTGACAAATGGACTTCTATACGGGTGCCTTCATACTGCCTGGATGTTCTTTATATTGTAGTTTATTTGGTGGCTAACAGAGGAATTAAGGACGCGCGTTTCGTCCTATTTATAAATCTTCAGCCGGATGTACGTGCACCCCAGTAAGTGATGTTGCTGCCTTTAGCCGCCTATTGGATAAGACTTTGGCGTTTGGAGCAATGGAGACGATGTTTAAGCCTTAATGGGAACAAAAATCTCACTGTGATGTGGGTAAATCTGTTAGCCGTCAGACAGACTGCAACAGAATTACTAAAATTGAATGAATAGAAGCCACTACAAAAATAACTCAACTTATTCACACCATCTTCTAAAATGATGGTTTATTGAAAAGTCATTAGCCCAGAAACGGTAACCCTACTCACTACTCAATATGTCGTTTTTAAAGCTTCCTTCTAACAAACAAGCATTCTTAAGTGACAAGGCTGGAGCAATCATTACTGAGGCGGTAATTTATATTCTCATGCTTACCTGACTATTCACTTCTACTGTAATACGTTCAGTTTTCGAAATTTTACCTCTGTTAGCATATTTTGACGATAAAAGTTCATCAATGCTAGACTTGACATTTGTTTGTCTTGGACCATTTTGTGCATTCATCTAATTAATTAACATTAAGATTGGAAATCATATGTGAATTTTGATTTAGGAAATATCCAGAAAAATATCTCGTTGAATTGGTGAGTCACAAATACATAGGTTTGCACGGTTGTTAATTCACAATCACTATTGGTTACATAATTAACAATCGAACCAATAAAAGACAGAAAGAGTGGTGGATTCTTGTTGATAGTGTGTATCCCACTAATTACGACTGCCTTGCATAACCCATAGTTTAGAATAAGCTTTTATTTTAGTCATCCATGAGTATAATATCTCAGCTCAAACTTTATTAGACAGGACTTGATACTCTCCAGCGACCAATCAGTGAATCTAATCCAGTTTTACTGGAGGTCATTTGCAATCTGAATAGCTCAGTGGTAACGTGTCGGACTGAAGTAATGGTTGACACGGGTCCAAGTCTCAGGCAAGTTCATCATTTTTCCATAGATTGCAGATATGCCTTGTTGATAAGTGCTTAAAAGAAGAAACTTAGGTCTAGGGCTTCCTGCCGATTGCCTACATTAAACCAACATCCATACAACATGTCTGTAATGTTTTTTGAGAAATTTCTCGCTTAATACATCAGTGGCTCTGCCAAACTCGGTTACAGTGGACCAGAGAAGTCCGCTGATTCAAGTCTCATCTATCTTTTTTATTTTTAAGGCAATACTTCAGAATACTTATTCACTTTCATATGAAATTTCGTTCTTGGTAATATTCAGCCTGATTGGAAATATTCCTCAGCATTTTTGATAGGATTACAAAAACAAATCATGTTCACAGCATTTTTTCAACCAACGGTAATAATGCTGAAAATTCTGAGTTGTTCAACTTTTCTCTTAACATTCTATGAGATAACAGTAAGATGATGAAATAAGTATACAAAACTATGATATGTTACAAACGTAAATGATAATATAACATTTTGTTGGTATACTTTTAATTCTCCTTTGTTGTGGGGTATCGCATTGTTCAATCTCTGTTGGCATATGGGCTCCAATGCGGGTGCCTCGATATTGTCTGAGTATTTGTTACGGTAATTCACTTGGTTGTGGCTAGGGCGCGCGTTTCTTCCTATCTGAGACTCGTCAGCTGCATGTACCTACACCCCAGTGAGTGATGTTGTTCTCTATGGGATGGGTACAGGGCTCTAGTCTTAGTAGGAACAACATCACTCACTGGGGTGCAGTTACATCCAGCTGACGAGTCTCAAATAGGAAGAAACATACGTCCTGGATTCTTTTGCTAGCCACAACCAAGAAAATGATAATAACTACCCAGAAAACTGGAAATGCGTTATGAGTAACAAATGTCATTAGTATCTAGATGGCTTAATTTAATATGTTGAAACGAGATACTCCAACTTAGACCACTACGCGGGATACTCATTGCCTGACTGTTGCATTCAAGACAATCAAAAACAACCGAGCAGTATGTACATTCCTAAGCACTAGTAAGTCTGTCAACAAATCTCAGCTGAAACAGATACTGTCCCAGACTGTTTCTCCATTTATTCACCAATGAGACTTCAGTTATTGGTTCAACAGAAAATTCGATCTGAAGGAACTTTTAAAGACACTGCACTGAAAAAGCAGTAATACATACTTTTTCAATATACCAGGTGGAATTGGTAGTACATCCATATTGTAAACAGATATGAATATTGTACTTGATGAATTTCACTTATAATTATAGAGTTATCCTGAATGGATAATTATGGAAATAATATCAAGAGGTTTAGTAGTAGGATTATTTGAGCTTTTCAACTTTTGTCTACATATAGTAGCGAGAAAATGAACATAGGCAATGGATGAAAGTATTCAATATAAAAGGTGATACAGGTAACAATAATAGATAAGGGTTGAACTAGTGAAGAGAGATGTTCTACATTTGTTTGCAGCTATTGCCTAAGTATTCATTCCTGATGAAAACATCATGTTTCGAATACAATACGTTTAATAGAACTTACTTACCTAACTGACTGCTGTTTTTGGCTGTATGGCTACCACTGTAGCAACCAAATTTGGATAAGTATACAAGTAGACGAAAAACTGATGATTACTATATTAGTCATAAATACTACTCATACTGTAGGAAACGAGAAGACAGAGACGAAAGAAGGAATGCCTGTTATTGATATCTTGTACAGTAGTTATCAAATAATGTACACTTTCCACTAAAACAGTCGCTTACACAGTGTGCTTCATCTCCTCTTCTGTTTCTGTCTCGATCTGCTCTTAATACGCCGACATTGTCTCTTGTGTTTCTCTGGACAGAATCCGCCCTGTCAACATATACTACCTATATTCATTCTGGTAACCAGTGTCCACTACAATACTAGCCAGGTGCATACTGTACAAGTAGATGTACTTCTTCCCCTTGCAAACATTTAACTGATAAAATATTAGGTTAAAATAAGCAATACTGTAAAAATATACTCATTTGCTATAGTTGGCTAAAAGATAGTGAAACTGTTAATTAAAGAAATTAACTGGTTTCTTTTCCAACTTTGAATAACCTACCAGTTTGATCATATAGCCAACTTTGATTGGTTGACAACGGGCCTCGTTACTTGTATCAAAACGTCCTTTTGATTTGACTACAGTGGACTTTTTATAAAACTTATCACAGTCATATCCACCGGGTCCAATATTAACCACCTAGGACGAAAAAATAAAGTAGTTGTGAAACTTTTATATGGTATTGGTAGGTCTTTTATCCAATCTTTTTTAAAAGAAAACTGTAAAAAAAACTCATTACACTTTTCAACATAGAAAATCACCTTGAAACATGGTAATTCGATAACTTGTCCTTTTTACCTGGATGATGCTCTAAATTATCAATGGAATGTAATCACTTTGATGGTTTTCACTTTTGTCAAGAATTATGAGTATCTAAACAATAGTTTTGATAATGTTCTGGAAGAATTTGAGTGCGAAGTTCAACTGAACCGTAACAAAAATATATTTGAATATAATATCAACAAAATAAGACTTTTCTGAACAGTTTAGCTATATAAGCTACGATTTCTTCAGCAGAATGTTCTGTCTGCAGATCGACTACCCAAATAAGCTTATTATTATTATTATTTGTCCTTTGAGTTCCTAGTGGAACATAGGGCTTCAGCAGCACGTCGCCATTCCACTCTCTTCTCTACAGTCTTTTCAACCTGGCTCCACGACGGAGTATAAGTTTTCGTTTCTTCCTCACATGATCTCCTCCATGTCATCCTAGCCTTGGATGCCTAACTCGTCGTTTCCCCTTTGGATTCCACCCGACGGCCTAGGGCTACTTGTTTAATTTTCTTCTATGACCCTTTCTTTACCTTCTTATTTCAAAAAATATAAAAATGTTCATCTTAGTGTGGAGGAGATTCTGAATCACTACCAAAATAAAGCCATGCTAAGTGCTAAGCATGAAAACTTATATGCCATAAATTCATTTAAAAATAACCTGTAGCTAACAGCTTCTTAGATTTAGCTACTTCTGATAACTTATGAGACTTGAAAATTAATTACTGCGTACACAATAAGCCTCAGATAGATCTTGTCTAAGTATGCTTGACTGTATAAAAATGAAGCAGTCATTATGAAGTGAAGACTGGCGGCTGCAACAAACCAAGTCAGACGTGAGGACAATAACTCAGCAAGGACATTGAAAGGAGCCTGCGCTACATAGCGAATTGATATGAGTAGGAAAATGTGGGCCGAAGGATTCTGACCCATAGTATATGAGAGTATTGAATTTGGTCCCTGGTATGGTCATGGTTGTGTACTGCTGAGGTGTCCTACACTAGGACGAAACGGCTGTCCAATCGTCTAAGGTTTTGATGCTTCTTCAAACAATATCAGCCCATGATGAATATCAACTTGAAAACAAACATTTTTCCTAATAATACATAACTCTCATCTTTAGTTGATGAGATTCATATGACGAACAATCTCATGAATGAACTTTGATAGTCGAAATCCTGCTATATTTGTCTCAAAAATCGATGTTCTTGATGATACGATGCCATCATCCCATACACCTCAGCAATAAAATATTTCACTGCGTTTTGATTTTCTATTTCTGTACTACATATATCTCAGTTGTTACGACTTCATCTTATCATAGATTATGAAGTGGTTTGCTAAGTTTGTTTCTGTGTACGTTATCATTTATGCAGCATTTTCCTCTACAAAACATTTGTAACATCTCTTTATGTATTATGTAAACTTCAAAAGAACGAAACCTGTCTTCACCTAAGTCTTCGAATGTATAATTCTTTTTTGCACAAATTTGAACGCTTTCATAACTTTGAACAAAAGTAGAAGGAAAGCTTTAACATAGCAGAAGGAATTTTTTTTCCACTTCACAGTTTCTCATCAGAAGCATTCAGCTTAGCATCATGTGCGTTTTTATAAACCATAAAAGGAGGAATGATTTACTTCAACAGTTTGAGGTGATGTAGAAGTTTTCAATATACATTAAACCAGTGGATTAAGAAAAGTAAAAAAGCAGACCATTGGTTAAATTATCAAAAAACGAAATTTCTTTACTTATGATACGACAAGAAGTCATGGTGTCAGAATTCAAGAGAAATAAAAGTGTGAGATAAGGGGATATGAATGGAGATCAAAAGTGGTAAATCATCTGTGATATCTGAGTGTCACTAGAAGAATAAAGATATTGGGGGTCAGTCATAATTTCAAAACAGCAAACATACACAAAACTGAGTTTGTCTTTTTCACCTCGTCTGTGAAAAAAATTTGTTTTCGATTATTCAACTGTTAATTTACTTTTGTGCTTAACTTGATCTACTAGTGTGTTCTACACTATGAACTCTTGTATCCTTTTAAGTCATTGAAACAGATCAATAATTTACTTACTGTTCACTATGACGATCTTGATTTCACAATGTATACAGCTTATTAGAAGCTGTCAAGTGGAACGAATCCTAATCTGTTCTCTAGGCGTTTCTAATCCTTTTTAAATAAGAACACTGTTTTTACAGTAGACATGTTATGAGAGAGTGAAAGAATTCTAGAGGCAAAGAAAGGCATCACTACACTGCATGTAAGGGGATATTCCATCTGAGAACTTTCCAATAGAATCTTCCTTATGAAATGTACAAAGATAGTAAGTTAAAAAGTTCAGACTTACAGTTCCTCCACATTGACGGTTTACCAGTGGAGCTTTGGAAAAAGGTTGCATGCATTTTGGTAGCTTTGAATTTGTATTGTATACTTGATATTTCTCATAGGTGCCAGGTGCTGGTGTGACTGTCTGGTAAAAAAAATGGTTAGAAACTTTATGAATCAAGAGGTTATATACTTATTAAAGAACAAATATGTATCACTATTTGTGCTGTGATTTCTTGTCTACTTTGTCATTGAAACAGTATAATACTTCTCTGGAATTTCAGTGATGTTCAAGTTACAAATGCATATAGGAAGTTGGCTAGGTGAATTGTGACCATCATATGTGTTTGAAAGGAATATTTCCTGTATGCATTTATACTACTGTGGCCTGCTTAAACTGTGGACTACCAAAAGTCTTTCTTTCGAATATATTTCATCGAATTCTTCCCTTTCAATTTGTTTTAACCTTATAAATATATCTTTCAAGTGTAACGAGTACTGTTATATACCTTTAAAATGGTTTCAAACTACCGTTTTTAAAGCTAACAGTAAAACAAAGAATAAACGATATGCAGATAAGAGAGTGGCTTATAAATGCACAGAAATGCAGTTCATTACTATTCCTTGGATAACTATGTCAAATTGCAGATTTTGGTACTGGTTGAACAAACTATCACTACCAAAATTACGCTCGATATTCTATATATTCATCAGCCCAAACGTAACTCTAATGTAATACCAGGTACCTGTTTGACATCGTGGCTTTTGTTACCGTTATTGTTAACATTATTCAAATGGGATGATTATTTCACTTAAAAATATTGTACAGATAATGAATATGTTGAACTATTACAGGCTGAAAATTTGATACTGTATCATCCTTGTCCTTGGAATAAAGTAACCTATATTATCATTTATCAATTTACTAAAAGAAATCGCCACATAAGCATCATCAGGATATTTATATTCAATGAAAAAGTAACAAGCAAGTGTTACTCATCGTTGAGTTAAGACGTAGTTCCGTGAACTCTACTTTTCCTATGAAACCTCCTAGATTTGACCTGAACACTTATTTTATTTACACTCAAATGAATAAACAATAGGGTAGAAAATGGAGAAAAAGTAACTGTAGTTCTGTTATTGTATGCAAATAAACCAACTTATTGTTTGATACTTTTAATCGTCCACTGCTATATTTTGTCTAACTGCTCCAACTGTGTTGCAAGACGAACTCCTATACGGAGGCCTCAATACTGCCCGGGTATCAATGACGTTATAGTCTGCAACAGCAAGTGATACCCGTCACACAAGAAGTGTCTCTCATACCCAGTCCCCTAGTGGATAAAGCTTTATTGTCTGAAGTGATGTGTGCTAGACTCCAGTCTCAGTGGTAACAATTCAGATGCATGCACATCAAACTGAAGGGTACTAAATAAAACGAAATTTGCTTTCTGGGTTCTAATGCTAGCCACAAGCCACACTACAAAAACTAATTTACTTCTCAAGTTTGATACAGTCTTCATGTGATAATATCGATTTTGACTTGGATTTTGTTCTGCTATTTTTACAACTCGTCATCTTGCTGTATTTACCGAATTATGAACTTTACAGTCTTCTAATAACCAGTCATATCATGTTATGCACTTACTTTTCCCATTAGTCACTTCAAGTTTATGCTGTTTCTAAGTGATGAGAAACCATGCAGAGAAGTGATTTCCTTCAATTTTTAGAACCAATTTTTTATTGCCTTGTTTAAGGAACCCAATGTACAAAGTCGTAGAACAGTTTCTTCATAAGACAAATGTACTACAATTTTTTCAAATGAAGCTTATTCATAACTAAATGTTTTCTTCATTGATATTGTAATTGGGAATAATATCGATGTGTAAGCTGGTTCCCAGTGCAGTTAAGCTTTTTATTTCTCTGCTTTATTTCTGTTTATCCTGTACCAGAAACTTGTTAAAAGTTCTTCATACCCAAATGTTATGAAGTGTAAAAGTTTTATTAAGAAATATTAAACAGTTTTCAATTCGTTTTTCCTTGGTTCGTTGGTTCGTTTGTTGGAAATGCTTTTTGTGACGCGACAAGTCTCTCAACCATCATCACATAGAAGCACTGACTTACTTGACTGAATTAGTGTTGGAAATCCGGATATTGTTCACACTTTATGCTGAGTGGACTTCTACGCAGTGCAGTAGATCTCCACACTGATTCCAGGTTAATGAAGGAAGGCCTGTCTTGCCATCTTTCCAATTCTGTCTTTGATATCCTCATATTTACCTGGGCTGCCTGTAGTTTAAAACGATACGGCCTAGGTAGGCTGGTAGGTGAAAGAGACAACTTCCTTCAGATTTCTCCTGCTGATGGTGATTAATGCTCGTTGTTGTTAATTGGTTATCTTCATCACCTCTGTCTTCTCTAAATTCACTTGAAGTCCCGTCTTCGCTGCCTCGCCACTTCTGCTGACTTAATGGTTTTCGCCTGTAAATCTTCGAGTTTGTGAGATATCATACACAAGTCATCGTTGAAATCCAAATCTTCTAGTGCACTTTCATTGGTCAAACAGCGTATACCCATCTTCTTGCTCCTCATAGTTGTCGGTTGCATGATCTAGTTCAGTCGATCACAACCAGGAAGATCATCGGCGGTAGTAGGCAACCTTGTCTTTCTTAAGCCTTCACTTCAAAGGCATCACTCAGCTTTCCACTGTGAGTTACTTGGCATGTAGCATCATATAGTATTAGCATATACCTGTTGAATATGGTTGATGAAAAGGTTGTGGCACTAGAACCGTAGTGTTGAAGCAGCTTCCTGCCAAATTACTTCTCAGTCGATGCCTCGATCTAAGGCCTTTTCAAAATCCATGAAGTTGAGGTAAAGTTTCGGTAAAAGAAATGAACATTAATTTCATACTATTTCAATAGTTTTTTTCTAAGACTTTGTTTTTTTTGTAATAATGTAACTAGCTATCAAAACAATGACCTAGCAGGTAATGCTGCTGCTTACAAAGCGATGATCACAGGGTTTGAATCTTAGGGGGAACACCATTACTCCCTGGAATGCAGACACGCTCAGTGGATGAGTCCGAAACGGAACCAAACGTTCACAATGGATTCTACTACTAGCCACTGATATGCGATTTATAAAATAATGAATTTTCAGTCAGTATCAAGTATCCAGATGCCAAATTAAGTCGATCTCTTTGATTCGGTATAACAACAGAAAATAACAAGTATCTGAATTACTTCATTAAATTTTCGATTTTCATTCGAATTGATAGTTATTTAACGTTTATAAAATTGTATAGAAAGAAGGTTATTTGATAAGTATATTTACAGGTTGAAAATGTTATTATAATCTGAACAAGGAGTAGTATTCCTCTCTACTACAGAAATATCTCGAACAATAAAGTAATTTGTACTGGCCGGTGTTGATCTACTAGTCTTCCATTTGCATTATATTGCTAACTGACAACTCACTTATTGCTGTCTATCTGACCTACGCTTCTTCGAATCAGCTGTACTTCAAATTTTTATAGTTTACTGAGGACTGTTTTGCTGAAACGTTCACATTAACAAAGCGTAGATCACTTTAGTACTTACAATTGGAATTCACGATGCAAGTTTCTGTCCATTTCAGATAGATGCACTACTATGACATTATTGGAAATTCAAACCTATCATCCTTTGCTTCAAAGGCTAAATAATCATCTCGGTAGATGATTAATGAGTTACTGAAACTAAATTTTACGCAGTGGAAATTACTTGGTATTGAAAAGTCTCATTTTTATCTTATCTACGTTACTGAATTATATTTTTCAACCTCTAATGGAAGTTACAGTCCCTTTCTGGATCCTGAATACTGCTAACTGTTTTATTCTAACGATGAAAGTATTCTAATTATTCTATTGGCAGTATTAAGGTGTCTGTTATAGGACTGAACTCGTCAGCATAAGCGCTCAAATTTGATTCAGTAATAAACCCAATGAAGAAAGATTCATAATGAAGTCATTCTCACCCAAGCCAAAGTAAGACATCAGTAGTAAGTTAAAAGGCAATTCCATATCATATAATCTAATACTGAAGTTAGCTTCATACTATGAAATATTAATAAAATATTAAATGTTTCTTCATGTTCAGTACCATTTTCTCCTAGTAGTCAGTGTTTTCTAAATAATTCCTTTGTCATAAAATATCCTTAAATCTCTCGGCTTTTTAACTAACTAAGAAACGAAATCTAATAATGTATCTCAAACAACCCAGATAGCTTCTTAATGAAGTTGATTAAAATGGCTTTGATGCAGAGAGTGCTCGTAGTCTCTGACATGTTCAGCATTTTCACTAATTCAGTTTGCAGGTTGCATAGGATTAAACGACACAAGTAGGAAACCGTGGATTGTTGGATTCCAGCCGAATGGCCCAACAGTAACTTGCTTGCTGTGAAACCTGAAGGTCCTAGGTCCGGTTCCAGCTACCAAATACCCTCAGGTTTTTAGTGGTTCCCAAATGATATGATTTTATGATTAATGCCAACTTAAAACTTTCACTAATTAGTATTAATTGATTTCTTCTCCTCTCTTTGCTATACTGTCCACTTCTGCATCTTTTTCTCACAAGAACGGCTATACGTGGAGATTCATCAAAGGATGATTTGGGTAATTTGTCATTAATCAAGAATTTACCCTAGAAAACAAGCAAACTGATTGTCACACCCTACATGAAAAAGGTCTCCGAGGTCATGAAATCCTCATCTGGTGGCTTATGAGGACTGATTGGGTTTAAATTAGTTTTTTAATAAACAGAAAAACCAGTAAAAAGGTGGAAGAAGTAGATATCTATTTCTTTGCAACTTCTCAGCAATGTGAACCCACACCTCCATAGGCCTGGTAGGAGGTAGGTTTCCAACCAGCCAAAAACCACTAATTCATAATTTTCAATGCTTATTTATGATATGCTGTAGAATGACTTTTCTTAAGTTCTAATGGGCATGCATGTCTATCGAATTTATTGAATTATGGGTGAAGGTCGCACTATGTCGTGAACTGACAGAAGCTGGAAATATGGACCATTTGATTCTGACCCAATAGCTGAATGGTAACGAGGTGGCCACGGAACCTGATAGCCACGGTTTCGATTCCTAGCAGAGTCGTGGGCGTGCACTACTGAGGAGTCCCGTACAAGGACGAAACAGGTGTCTAGTGCTCTTAGGTTTTCAGAGTTCCTCCAACTGATGTCAGCCCACGACAAATACCAACTTGAAAAATATTGAATTATGGTTGCGCAATACCGCCAATCGACAGAAATTGTAAAATCAGTACCAGTCGGTCACTGGTAACGTACTCAGCATAAGACTTGATACTACTTGGCTAATTCTATCGGGGAATCCTAGAGGTGTATCAGTGAGTGTGTTAAACTAGATTTAAATAGTTGTTTGATGGTCTCACAGTTTTAGTAGTTCACCAACTGACGTCATTTTAATGATAAAAACACAATGAATGACTTTTCTGAGTTTAATTTATTTCAACTTCAGACCATTATCGTAATAAATTTGAAAATTTGATCTTCATATATTTTTCTGGTGTACTTTATATCAAGGTTGAGTTTATTGTAAAAAATGTTGAGAATTTGTCAGTCATTAGTGTGTTATGATATGCATGTGAGGTTGTCATATTCAGTGCAGATTAATAAATGTAGAAAAATATCACAGACGTAAATATTTAGAAATGTTAAAATTATTGGAACGCTTTTGGAAAATGGGACGTCCAGTTTGCCAATTTTTTATTTTCTCCTATTTTTTCATTTATTTTGAGGTTTATTGGAATTTGTTTTTTTTTACGTTGACTGGTCACGGGAGAGCAACTAATTTCATGTTGTTTAGCCCTGAGTGCTGACCAAATTCTATCGATCACATTTGCAATGTGGTCACCAGGCTAGAAAGCTGAGCACCGCAATGCCCATTTCTTGATGGTGGTTGGTTGGAAGCACTATAGTACTAAGTGACGCGGGTTCTAATTTCAGTCCGGAAATCAGTCCCGTCGAGGTTGGAGATACAAGCATTACTTCTTATTGATTGCCTCCAACCAACTAACTTTCTATTTTTATTCTAAAGTGGAGCGACATCAGCTGCAGAAACATTGAAATCCTGGGGGTACTGGGCAACTGTTTCAACCTTCATTTGTTTATCTACTTATTACAATTGTTTACTTACTTATCATTATTTTTCTGCATTTATCGATGATGTGGCATATTCCTTAAATGAGTAAAGCGGTGGTCCGGTGTTTTGACACTCTAATCTAACTAGCGAAATCTAAAAGTCAACCTGGGTGGTTTCTTACTGTTTGTTGTTGAGTAGGAAACTTCGGGGAAAGATATTCATCAGCATATTGTAAAACTATTCAGTTTATTCAATAAAACTATGAATAGAACAGAACTTTGATTCTTTTCAACTAAATTTCCAAAGTTTCCGAATTTCGAAACGAGAGCAAAACATTACTATTCAGGGTAGTAAAGACTAAACAAAACACTACAATATGCTACTAAAGTTTAAATAAGTAGGCTTGACATTTTTATATCTTACCATATTATTCAGTGGTTTAGAAAAACGTGGCGATTTGACACCAAATCCAAATATCTTTTACTTTCTAATATTTCTGCTTGTTTCCTTCTTATACCTTTAGGCAGTGAATCCAATGGGAAATTGAGTTCTTTGTCAATAATATCAGCACTGTTTTGTGAAACTTCATCATTATCGTTTGACTCATCTAGTGTTAATGATTCATCTGATCCGTTAAGGTTTTCTGGATTAGGATAATAACGTGCTACAGTGAATTTTTGCATTCTTTCCACCAACTGCTGCCGTCGTGAAGATTGATGAACACGTTGCTTATCGTATAATGGTGTATTTTCCTAGGCAAAGTGAAGGAAGTAAAAGCAGAAGGTTGTGATCAGAAATGAAATATTAATTTGTGTCGTTTTAGTTTCATGAGATTATTTTAACCATACTTCTACACTACAGATGATTATGTTAAGTCTGTGACACCACTTGTTTGATGACTTGATCACTTAAGCAGTCAGTAAATTGAGAAATTCACGTTAGATATAGTTCTGACCATTAGAGGTGCAGGACATGAAAAAACCTTAGCTGTTGGACCACCACTCCCCTTGTGGCATGGTCTGTTCATCATGGAATGACCAAGCTAATGAACTAGAAGTTAGCTGTGGGGTTCGATTTTAAAGAGGTGAGTCATTTGACGAGTTTGGCTAGAACATGTTGGGTATGTCTTAGAACCATCTACCTCATCTGGCAATGTTAATCAAAGTAAGATAGGCTGGAAAAATGTCATAGGTGGCCATACCAAAATACGACATCAGTTCATGAAGTTTCTGATTATTATTTCGAGGGGTGTAGGTAAATTTTGGACTTTCCTATTGAGGTCTGTGAGACAGCAGAAACCAGTGACTGAAGATAGACATCAGGTGGCATCGCTCAGAATTGATCCCAGTGACTCAGATATACTCACAGATTATCGTCGTTAAGTCTAATTTCTTTATTGTTTACATCTTCATTCTCTCTTTTTATGACTCTACTATTTTTGATTACTTTCTTCCTTAGTTCTCTGTTTTTCATTTTGGTGACCTCTGTCTTGATGTGTTGGTTTGAGATGTAGCGCTACAACCATTATGCAGGTAATTAGCTTTGTACAAACCTAATTACATTATTTTCCCCCCTTAAATATTTGACGCATATCTCTTTTCGAACATGCCTAAAGATACTAGCTAGGTTAGATATCTATGGATGACAGCGAATGCTAGTCATTTCAGGTGTTAGATTGACAGACTATAAAATGTGAGGTATTGAATCGTAACTCGGTATCTAAAAAGTGATGCATTTATCATCTCGAGTCAACCTTCTCGATTAACGTAAAAGAACAACTTGAGCACTGTGGTGGAACATAAATCCATATTAGATTGATATAGCATAAAGTATAATATACTGCATGATGTTTTGATCAGAATTTATTGCTCATATTCATATCAAAGTTATCATATGACTTTCAGAATTTCTTTATATAGTCCAACAGTTTGTCCACTTATTCTAGTGATAGTAATATGTAGTGAGACATTCCTGTTACATATGCTAGGTGTGGATTCAATGAACAAAGATTCCATGATCAATCTCTCCCTCCACCTAGTTGTATTGGATTTTAGAAGTGTCACCCTATCCACCCACCTTATAGTGTGATTAAGGTTCGGTGCTTGCAGAGCGATAGTTGAGTTTTCCTCTGAATTACTTATGTTAGTAGGGTCTGCCGCTGTATGTCTCGCTGAATTCTTGTCTTCTGCTATTCTGGTTGCTGCTTTGACCTATAACCCTGACCTCTCAATCATTATATTACGTTATTTATGCTAATTGGTCCTACCGGATCTTTTAGCCTACACAGTTTCTCTCTGAACGGGTTTGTGGGTCTAAATACTACCCTATCACGGCATTGTTAAGGATTCCACGTAAAATTTCCAACATACCTTCTTTATACGGCAACACTACAGAGCTACTCAGTATTCCCAGTTTGTTAAGGGTTCCTTAGCTGACATTTTTATTCTGCGAAACCCACCTGAACCTCACTTTATTTTTTACCAAACTATTCGTTTCTTTTCAATAAAGCTTTACTTTTTCTTGATGTGAATTTTATCTCTACGGTATTTCGGTTCAGTGCATGTGACATTTAGTTTACAACCATACTTTTTATATATAAATCATTCCCTTACTAAATCTATGTCATCTATATTTCTTTTCAACGCAGAGTTCAGATAATATGACAATTACTATAAGAAGACCAATTAATCAGTTTGATGCCTCACTCTCAAGGTGGTTATAAGAATGCATGAAAGGGGAAAATATAAATTTTGTATTATTCTATTATTCTTATAGAATAAAAAAGATTAACAGAACCGATGAAACATGATGAAGACTTCTGCATCATATACATCTCAATAACATGAATTAGATACGCACTTAGTCCGTAATATTTTTCCATTTTTACAACTTAGTTTCACACTTTTTTCCAAGGCGTTCATAAAGACAAACAAGCCGAACAACGATCCATTGGCTTTGACTTTCTATGGAAGTAAAGTCTGTGTTAAATGAGTACTTTGTTTTTTAATTATTCCCCAAATTAAATGTAATGTAATTATATGTTGACACATATTCTGATGACTGTTTAAAATAACCTAAAACTTATTGTAATTTCTTGATACTGAAAAGTAAAGCTCAGCCGACAGAGAGTGAGTTGTTTAAAGTTTAAATAAGTTCTCTGTGAAAATAAATTAGTTTTCAGTTATCTCTATGTCCTAGATTTGTTAATCCACTTCGATAACTTAGCAGTAGGAATTTGTGTCAATAAAGTATTTCTCGGAAAGTAAAAGTACCAACTATTTCACCTATATTAGTATACCTTCCATCATTCGTACTTTTGATTCCCGAGAGAAATTAATTTACACTTGTTTTCAGAAAATGACGACAGTAATACAGTATCTATGAGTATTGTTGCTATAAACTCATTAAATAACTGACACAATACTCAAATGCATCGTTTGGTGTTGCATTTCACGCGACACTTTAAAGAAGGCTGTAAACTGAAGACATAAGGGTAGTGTATTCCATCTGTAATATTCAAAAGTAACCCACTGGTTATGTCTTTAAGCCTGGAACCCATATTCAAAGGATTTTTCACACTTTCAGTAAATATCTAACTCACTGAACAAAATGCCCCCAATTTGAAATAACTGATCACAGGGAACACACTATACTCTTTTTATTCAGCAGAGTGTTAGCAGAATTTAACCAATACTTTACAGGTTTACTTGTTTTATGGAAATTATCATCTCACTTTCATTTTGAAAAAGCCACTGATAATATTGATAAGGTAATGAAGGATAGTGGCTAACAGTGGAATCTAGAGCGCCCTTTTTGTCCTATTAGAGACTAGTCAGCTGGATGTACCTGCCTCCCAATAAGAGACGTTGTTTCAATTTGCACTCAAATAGGAAGAAACATGCATCCTGGATTCCACTGCTAGCCACTATGCATCATTAATGTACGATCCAAACACAGTCACTATAGAGGCATCCACGCAGGAACCCTTATGCCAATACAGACCGATCAATTTGGTCCACTCAGCGACGGGATTTCCGACAGACCTCCTTGAGATTTTACATACACTTACACATTTAGTGTAAGAAATCACAAAATGAATTTACCGTTTTAAGTTATTTCCTGCAAATGAGTAACAGTAGTAGGTAACAAGTTTTCTGGTGCAATCACCCTTTTTGTCCGTGAATTAATACAAGACATTTGAATACTTTAGAACGAAGCTGTTCAGACTAGTCACACATCGAAATTTTTGCCTACTGAGAGCTTTTAGCTTATGAACAAATGATGGTATCTTCACTCATCAGTCAACCAGATAACACTTTTGTGTATGCTATGATTGTTTTTAAATTCGATCCTCAGTAAAAGCGAGTGCTAAACATGGCTAAAATGTCAGTAATTAGACATGGATGTTTTTCATAGGCTCCACCAACTGATGCCCATCAATATATTGAAGATGCGCTTTGCTGATGATTGCTAAAAAGCATAAAACCTAGGTCCAGTGCTTCTTACCGATTGCCTTCATTCAGCTAACATCTGTCCAAAGTGAATCGCAATGCTGAATCACCTAGTTTGGTGGTTACGTCGTAAAATGGTTGATAGAATTCGATGAGCACTTAAGACCAGACAGCATGAAGTTGGTTACTCTCCGGTGAAAAATTGACGTACTTAGTCCAGTCCTACAGGAGATCAGTCGCGGCCCGAATAGACCAGTGGTAACATCGTTGATTGCAGCACCATGTGATACAAGTTCAGATCTCAAGAGAGATTTCAGTCCTGTAGACTTTGTAGACATGCCATGCTGACGAATGCTAAAAAGCACAAAACCTAGGTCTAGAACTTCTTAACGATTGTTTCAGTTCAACTAACATATATTACACTCAGCAATGCAAGTTGGTATCCCATCACGAAATGGCATTAATTGGAGAACCATTGAAGACTTGAGAGCAATGGATAGCCATTTTGTCCTACCATGAGATTTCTTTTCAGTGCGCACCTTTGACCTTGTCAAGCATAGAACTTGGAACCTTCAGGTTCTACAATGAGCAGTCTCTCATTGGGCCAAAAGGTGGAAATTTAATGCTCCACAGTTTTCTACCTCTGTCAGTTCACGATATAGCGCAACCTCCATCCGATGTCATCGTTCAGTATTTGTCTTCAAGCTTGACTTGGTTTTGTCACCGGAAACGACTTCCTATTTGAACTTCTGGAAATCTCATCTCAAACCAAGTCACTAATGAACACTGAACAGTATTTCAATTCAGAGGTTTGTGGGGATTTATTGATTGATTTCAAGTTGGTATTTATCATGAACTGACATCAACTGGAAAACCAATGGGAATCTAGTATCACTGAACTGTTGTTTCGTCCCAATATGGAACACTAAAGCAATGCGCATCTATGAAACTGCTAAGGATCAATTCCAACTTCAAATCAATAATTCCCCGCAAACTTCCAAAACTGATTTATATTAGGTGTTGTTGAATTTCGCTTTCGGTTGTGTAATCGGTATTTGTCATGTCCTTTAATTTTTTCAACCTTGGAAATATTTCCCACTTGAGTTGTTGTAATCAACGGATAATTTTGACATGATGTACAAATGCTTAAGCGAACTGTAATAGGAAAGACGCCTGTTGGGATAACTACTGAAAAGTGAGTTTTCAATAATACCTCCAGATACAGTTCAGATGATTTGAGTCAATTATTCTACAGTTATCTAAACCACAAAATACTTTTAGTGAAATATAATCATAATGATATTAAAGATGTACAAATTTATTCACCTAAATATTCCCATTGTAATGATTAAAAATGTACAGTTTGAGCAGATATTTATATTTGGTAATCTCTTGCTACATTCTAAAGTTACATTTAAAGATGATTCAGCATAGGCATTTGATAAAATTATAGGTGAAAGAATTCAGGTAGATGGTATGAATAAAGGGGATAATACTGATAACGAAATCTTATTACAAATTCAGTCATTTTACTATCTCATCACTTGGTTGTATACGTACACGCACACAATCCATTAATACATAGATAAAGACTTATTATTGTTATTATCGCCTTTACTGTTATCCTCTAATTTATGTACCAGAATCCTGTAGTCCCTAATGGCACCAAATGTCTATGTTGAATAATTTCTCAATCTAACTATGTAACCTGATGTAAGGTTACTGAAAGCACTCTGTTTTCTAAATAACTTAATCACCTGAAATTCTATTTGATTTGGAAACCTCAACCAGAAACAAAGTAAGTAATATAACTAGTTTAGATTATCATGGAATGATAGAGAGCAGCTATAGCTTGAGGTATGAGTGTTCTGTAAGAAGTGTCTTGAAAGCCGATATTATTTGACCCATAGCTTTCAACTATATTCTATCCTTCATTTTCAGAAATATTGGGAAAATCCTGATCGCTCATAAAAATGATGACCAGGGTTTCACTGTGCGGTCAATCCTAAACAATCCCAACGTATTTTGATACGTGCAATTTCCCACTTTTATACAGAGCTGGATTTCTCTACTGCTGTTGGTGGATGGACACCTATGCATGTCCCTCGATATTTATGATGTTATATTCATCTTCATGACAAGCACTGCAATCCAGAACATGCGTTTCGCCCTGTTTGGGACTCATAGGTTGGATGTATCTGCACTCCAGTGAGTGATGCTATTCCTGCTGGAACTCATACCCAGGAAGCATCGCTTCAATCACCAAAGCGTTATTCACTAAGCTACCGGACACAAGAGCTACCTCCTGTGCAACGAGTATCAATTGCTTTTTGATACTTGTAACTTCTCCCGTTGCATAAAAAGTAGTTCTCGTGCCCCAGTGGTCTAGTAAATAACACTTTGTTGCTGTAAACAATGCTTGTTGAGTTCCAGCTTTAGTGGGAAAAACATCATTCACTGGGGTGCAGGCACATCCAGCTGACAAGTCCTAAACTGAACGAGACGCGCGTCAAGCTAGATCAAGATGAATATAACAATGCCAACTTGGTTTACGTGAGGTTGATGAATATGAGTAATCAAGACGAGTGAAATGCCAATATGACACTGAAGAAAAGCTTTTATAAGAGGAAAATAATTATTAAAACTCACTAAAATTACACCAGTCATAACAGTATTACAACTGTGCTCTTTTTAAACAGATGAAAATTTGCATTCATGCAAAACTGTTTCACTTACCTTTGTTTTTTTGTTTGGATTGGGATATTTCAATATTTGAGGTCACGAAATAGACTAACAATAAACCAAATTTCCTACAAGGCTGAAGGCAAACATTACAAGAATTCAATAGTTTAAAAATCCTTATTAAGTCATACAACAAAAGACGCTGTGCAGTATGGTCTCATTATTTACAAGCGTCCCACTGACTGAGACAATATGTTACATATGTGACTATACTGATTCTAATGGACTGAATGTTGGGATCTCCATATATTATCTAAAGGAGCTGTTGTTGAGATGCACCTTGAACGTCTAATTTTTCCTCAATGATGAAATATACAGACAAATAATAGCATAACTATGGGTTGGCTACTGGGCTCATTGCTTGTAGACTTATTCTTGTCAACGCTAGAGAACACGTATCTAAGGAGAACGACCAACGGGTTTAAACTTTATAAGGGACATATAGATGATACCTTCATCATCTTCAGTAAAATGGATAATCTAGATGATAACCTGTCTCAATTTAATGACTGCTACCCTTAAATTAGGTTCACTTTATTGAATGAATTGAATTCTAAGATATTTTTTTAGATTTAGAGATAAAAAGACGAGGTGGATCACTCAAAAGGTCCATCCACATAAAACCTATGTGGAATGAACAACTTACGAATTTTCATAGTTAGGTGCCTCTATGCAGCAAACGAAATCTAATTCGCACTGTGTCCCATAGGATCCACACCATCTACATTCAGGATACTTTTGAAGATGAAGTTAATTCTTTCAAAAATGTTTTGACTGAAAAACAATATCCTATGCTTTTCATTGACGTAACTATGAAACTGAAAGCAAACGATCATTCCACTTCAACAGTTCCTAAGAAGGCTCTTTTGATGACCTTACAGTTCAGCGGAGATACATCAGCAGATATGTTAAGAAACCGTCTGACATGCTCATTGAGAAAGATTTTCTAAATTGCCAAAATGAGATTCACTTTCTCCACTTAACCAATGCTTAGATTATGCGTAAAGGGTAACCTAACTTCCTTGGCCACCTCTGTGTGTATTTATCAATTCACCTGCTCCTATTGAGTAAGGTATATTGGCCGTACTCAGCATTTGCTTTCCACACTCATTTCCGAACATATACCAACCTGGTTCCATAAAGGATAGAAGAGAACTCTTGTCAGCTCTATTTTAGAGGATTTGATTGATTATGACCACCCGATAAGTGCAAGAAAAAACTTCAATGTCATCCAAAAGTTTGTGTAAATCTCGTGAAAAATATACGCCTAAAACTTCTTCAAACTGAGGAAGCCAAGCCAATTAATATTTTGAAACCTGAACTTTGCGTTCAAAAGAAATTTGTCAAGTCACTTAACTTGCGATGGACATAACCTACAGAAACATTTTACCTTCATAAATATTTTCATTCAGATCTCCTCACACTTTACATTCCTCTGCTCCTATAATTTTGATTTCCTTTTACATTCACCAGTCCCTTTCACCATATTACATCATTTGACTTGGTAACCCAAATGTGACTTTGGTCTTGATTTATCTTCTTCTCTTTACTATTTCGAACATTACGTTATTCATTTTCTGACTATATGGATAGAATATTTACATGTGACTGGTCAGCTTTAAAATGATACTGCTGAAAAGAGTGACTCTTCATTAAGCGTTTTTCGTTTTATTACACGCATTGTTTTCACTTTTATGTTTAACTGTTAAACCAAGAACTTTGATAAAAACCTAAATATTATACTGCATTCAAGTTATACATTTATTGAGTCATTGCAAGTATTAAATTACTCTCAAACGAATGGTCATTAAAGGCATTTTCTTGACTTTGTCATACTTTTTTTCAGAAGATATAAATGTACGGTCTTTGTAACTTTCTTTCTTTTGAGATATGCTTGGAAAATGAATCGCTAATACATCTATATCTTGCACAACTTGTAGAGTAATAAAAATTATTATAAAGATGTTGAAATACTTTATATTATTGATTCTTCAGTTCGTCAGTCAGGATCAGCACATCATCATATCGTCTCTTCTTCACTGAGTTAGAATGACATTCAATCAAATATATAAGGAAAGATTAACAGGGTATATAGCTTGGTACACAAATATATACCATTTTTAACCGATAAAGTCTTGTATTTACGTGACAGAAACATAACATTATCTTCAGATAATAGGTATATTTATGAAACACTTGTATACAAGTAATTCATGCTCCACATTTTTGTAAGAGAGAAGGTAAAACGCAAAGATAAAAGACTGACTGCGAAACTACCACTTCATCTATGACTTTGGTCCTTTACTATCTTTCTCAGTCGAAAATATCACTTTAAGGGATTATCTGTTTGCAAAATTTTGTTATATATTATCGTAAAGATGAATATTTTAAACTTGCATACTAGATGAAAATTGAAAATCAGAACTTCATATTTAAAGACTTGTGAGAGATTAACAAAACCACATTATACATTAAATCACTTGTCTTTTCAACAGTCTGACAAGTGAAACGCTTAACTTTTCAGATGGTTTTCATATCAATGCAATGCATCATATGCATCTTCAAAGATAATTAGTCAAGTTGACAATACTTGAAGTACCGTGGAAAAATAATAATAATAATAAATGAAATAATCGCTAATATGGTGTAATTTCCGTTGACTTTTCTAGCCAAATGCATATTGTTCAAGCATTAGCTTAAAAAGAAAGGTCACTATATCTTTTCTGAAGATTAGCGAACATGTGAGCTGAAAACACATACATTGCAGAGAGGTAATATCGAAGTACATTAAGCGCTAAAACTTAATGAATTTTATAACAAAAATATGTAATCATTTGAAAAGTTATCACGTTTCAAACTATCTGTTCAAATTAATGAAACCAATTATATTTCGCATCAGTCTTACACAATTATCAGAAAATGAGCACAAAAACTCAGCTAAATCAAGATCAGTAGATCCTAATGAGATAAGAAATCTAGAGAAAAACTCGGCTATAGCTCTGCATGCGATGACACACAATCACACAGTAGGGTAGGATAGGGTGACAGTGTTGAAAACTAACTTAGTTAGGTGGCGGGAGAGATTGATAACCGAATCTTTGTTTATCGAATCAACACCAAACACATGCAGTAATCGAAATGATGCTGCACCTGTCCCAGATATATGGAAAATTCTACTAGCCTTGTCATCACAGAGAAGGAGAGAAAACTAGGAATATATAAAGACTGTCTCGAAGTTGTGGAGTTACCTGATATGAATATGGACAATAAATTATGTCCGAAACGTTATCCAGTAAATGCTACTGTTTCACTGTGTGATATTTCTAATAAACAGGCTAAAATGGAATTACACTCGACCACAGTGCCCATGTTTAACACTTATAGTAATGAAACATTTGGTCTTCCTGTTCGAAGACTAATCAACAAACTCACACGACTTTCACAGACAGAAGGCAGATACACAAACAACCGTATATTCAATACTAGATGTCTCAGGAATCAAATCATTCCTAAATATCCACGTCCACGTGCACCGATTCTAACAGACAAAGTCAAAGCAGCTATAGAGCGTGTCAGTAAACTCTGTCTTAAAGAAGAAATTCATTGAATAGTCAAAAAGTTGCACAACATCAGGAATTATATTGAAGATCTTAAGTGTAAGCTGATACAAACAGTTAGCGAAAAAGATTATGAGCTTCTGACAGACAATTTCAATAAAGCAAGATCAGCAGCATTCAAGAAATCCAAAAATACTCAGATTAAGAAGTTCAACAAACCTATGGAAGAAAAGCACGCAGTCAACAGTAATGAAATTAACAATAGCATATCACCGATGATCGATAAGTCAAAGTGGGTTGTCAATGTCTCAAGTAGAGTCCTAAGCTCAACAGAAGTGAAAGTGCTGGAGAAAGGTCTTAATTTCAATGTAGCGGTTTAGGAGTTGAAACCAGAAGATGTCATTCCCAAAATAGAAATAGCGTTAAGTTCAATAGATAAGACAACTGCAGATGAGGTAAGAGCACAGTGTACTCTAACACTGAAACGACATAAGAAAGTGAAATCTAATTCACCAAAGTCAGAGAGGGAAGCTCTCAGGAACCTTCAAAATGATAACAATATAGTAATTGCCAAATCGGATAAAGGCAACTTAATAGTTGTGATGAACAAATCTGACTTCATCTGCAAGGTGAACGAGCATACAGAAACAGGACCATATGAGGAAATTAAAAAGACGGTGGATACTATTATGAATAAGGTCAAGAAATCGACAAGGGATCTGATACGCCGGATGAAGCCATTTCTAGGTGAGTCGAAGTGATTTAATTTAATGCCGAAAACTAATAATCCCAGTAGAATGTATGGCACTATTGAGATTCATAAGCCAGGTTATCCCATCAGGCCTATAGTAGATTTTAGAAACACTCCGACTTACGAGTTGTCTAAATATTTAGCAATGGTGTTAGGTCCAATAAGAAATCACTCAAAGTCTCAACTTACCAACTCTTATGACTTAAAGCATAGACAAGACGACATACACTTAGACGACAGTGAAAAAAATGGTTAGTTTTGACATAACTAGCCTTTACACAAACATACCGATTGATATGGCTCTGGAGGCAGTTCGAAATGGGCTTACAGATGACAAAGAACTTACGCAGCGAACTAAGCTGCCGATCGAGGAAATCATACTAGGAGTACGATTATGCCTAACATCTACAGTTTTTAAGTTTCAAAATAAAATATATAAACAAACTCAAGGTGTTGCCATGGGATCACCAATATCCCCCATCGTTGCAGACATATTTATGGATAGTTGGGAACACATGTCCCTTCAAACATCTAGTCCTACTCAAAAGACATGGTTCCAATATGTAGATGATACGTTTACAGTACTGAAATCGGAACACATCAATAGGTTCTTGGCACATATAAATTCAGTAGTAAATGCAATCCAATTTATCTGTGACTTAGAAAGCGAAGAAGGTGAGCTAGCAATGTTGGATTGCAAGATTAAACAAACACAAGAAGGAAATCTAGAGACTAGTATCTATAGGAAACCTACCCATTCGAATCGCTACTTAGACTTCGAATCCTCCCACCCCATTTCAGTTTAATTAGGCCTAGTTAAATGCTTAGGTGATAGAGCGAAAAAGCTTACTAGTAGATCGGAAAATCAGCGACAAGAAATTAGACACATCAAGAATACCCTACGTTTCAATAATTACCCACCAAAATTTGTAAATAAATTCATAAGAAATAGAAAGAAAAATATTAGCAGGGTAGTAGTAGTAATACAGATGTTATTAATAATAATCCCACTACTAGTGGCAATAATGGCGACAGGGTTGAGAGAGAATTCAAAGCCTCTGCTGTGTTACCATACAAGGAAGGAACCTCAGAAGCACTACGAAGAATTCTCAATAAAGCTGGGATTAAAGTGGCATTCAAACCAACAAACTCGCTTAGAAACAAGCTCTGTAGG